GAAAGCAGGGACTTGAACCAAAAATATCAATTAACTTCTGTGAAAGAAGTTTGGTTGACAGATTTTTCTCTCTTATTTAGATTAATTTCAAAATAAGTTCAAAAGATGTAATTATTATAAACAGAAAAACAACTTTCCAATCTGCTAATCAACGTGTGGTTATACTTACTAAGTTTGTTTAGCTCCTGACGGAGAGTCTGACATTCCTGTGTCTCGTTTACAAGTCTCTCTTGACTTTGAGCCAGACGCTTTTCCACTTCAAAATACTGTTGTTCTGCAGAACACCACATTATATTAACACTACTTCATAATCAGCTTTTATTAGAGAACCATATCTAGCAGAAAGTGCAACTAGAAACAATGCTCTTTCAGTAGACCCTGAAGAGAAAACATTTTTTTAAGCCAAGTGCTATATTGCTACCTACTTTTAAGCACTGTTTAAATAATTTTGTTACTATGTTCAGTTCTGTTTTACATTTCTCCACGTGCATTGCCCTAAAGCAGTGGTCTCCAACCTTCTTACGCACAAGATCACTTTTTGAATTTAAGATCAACACAGGATCTACCCCAACCCCTCCCCGAGGCCCTGACCGTTCCCCAAGGCCCTGCCCTACTCACTCTATTCCCCTCTCCCTCCGTTACTTGCTCTACCCCACCCTCACTCACTTTCACTGGGATGGGTCAGAGGGAAAATGTGCAGGCTCTGGGCTGGGGCCAAGGGGTTGGGAGTGCGGGAAGGGGCTCCGGGCCAAGCCTGGGGCAAGGTGTTGGGATGCAAGAGTGAGGGGTGCAAGCTCTGGAAGCGAGTTTGGGTGCAGGGGTCATATGGTCACACTGCACCTGATCTGATAGAATCCACTGGACATTTAATGAGTTTTACTTTTTATTAGTGTCATTTGTGGTTTATAGATCAAAAATCTTTCAGGGATTGTCACAAATCAGTGTAACATTCTCAACTGTGGGGTGTGCATTGGCTGAGCCTGGGGCAGGGAGTTGGGGTGCAGGAGTGAGGGGTGCAAGCTCTGGGAGAGAGTTTGGTGCAGGAGGGGGCTCTGGGCTGGTGCAGGGGATTGGGATGCAGGAAGGGGTAAGGGCTGCAAGCTCTGGGAGGGAGTTGGGGTGCAGGAGGGTGCTCTAGGTTGGGGCAACATGTTGGGGCACAGGAGAGGTGAGGGGTGCAGGCTCTGGGAGGGAGTTTGGTGGGATGTAGGCTCCGGCCAGGAGGCACTTACCATAGGCGGCTCCCTGCAGGCGGTGCAGTGGGGCTCACCACACTACACCTGGAAGCGGCTGGCTGCTGGCATGTCTCTGCGGCCCCTGGTGGGTGGGTGGGGGGAGAGCGGGTCTCTGTGCGCTGCCCACGCCCACAAGCGCTGCTCCTACTTCCCGCCCAATGGGAGTTGCGGGGATGGTGCTGGGGTAGCGTGCGGAGCCACCTTCCATTCAGGGGCCGCAGAGACGTGCCAGCAGCCAGCTGCTTCCGAGAGCGGCATGGGGCCAGGGCAGGCAGGCAGCCTGCCTGAGCCCCGCTGCGCCACCGGACTTTTAGTGGCCTGGAGATTGCGATCGACTTGCAGAGGCTCCAGGATCGACCAGTTGATCACGATCGACAGGTTGGTGACTACTGCACTAAAGTCTAGTTTACTCCAGTTTTTGGATTGATTTCACTATATTAATTTAGCATATAGCTAAATTAGTGCAATTCCCTATGGTGGTCAGTTATACTAGTATATAAGTGCTTATGACACCACAGCTTATTTCTAAACCAATATAATTAAATCAGTATAAAACTGGGTGTAAGTTTGCCCTTACAACCTTAACTTGGAAAACTGTTAACAACAATGATTTCTGGTAAAGAACCTTTTTGTATGGGTACATCACTATGGACTTTGAAAATATCACAACCAGAAGTAACACTGATATGTAAAGGTTATTGCTTTATAACTGAAATAAAAGTCACACTTCAGATTTTCTATAGTGTTTAACAATGCTTTGTAAATATTTGAGATAATATTTCTGGTGATGCTACTATTTTCTTGGAATAACAGCAAGAAAGATTAGCGCTGTTTTCTTAACATGTACTATAAACCTTTTAGATAAGTGCTGTTTTCTTAACATGTACTATAAACCTTTCTCATCTGTATAAACTACATCAGTTTCATATAATGATATACCACCAGCATGTATATGAGAATCTTGAAGTTTACAGACAACCACTAACCTACTTAAACTGATAATCACAAAACATTTTCAACCAGTAATGATTTAAGTTCAAAAATACCACTATAAGGCAGGAATATTATCCCTATTATAAGATTGCAAAACTGAGGTATAGAGAGGTTAAGGGCAAGTTTACAGAGGCAATCTATGGCAGAGCTGAGAAATGAACTCCTGACTCTACACACAGTTTCACCTATGCTCAATTATTAAATAATTCTCTTGCCCCCCACTTCAATACCCTAATAATACTTAGCTCTTAGACAGCACTTTTCATTGTCAGATTTCTAATTGCTCTACAAAGATCAGTATCATTAATGTCATTTTACAAACAAGGAAACTGAGTCACAGGGAAGGGAAGTATCTTGCCTAAAGTTACCCAGTCACAGATATTAAATCCAGGTATCCGGGGTCTCATTCCTCTGTTCTAGCCACTAAGATATGTTGCCTTCCTGAGTGGGCCCAGGGCAATAAGATTATATCAATAATGTCATTGTCTCTAAGATGTAATGCCAGATGGGACCACTGGCTAGCCCAAAACCCTGGATTAGTATAACAGCCCTCAGTGTTAAAGTGTTGCAAGGATCATCTCCAACCCATCCTTTAAAAGCCTTGCTTCAAGCAATGGCAGATTATCTGGAAAGGTTCAAGCCTCAAACATTGAGTTTATTGGAAGTGTTGCTAGATTGGGCCCACTCAAAGTATGTCTAGACTGCAAAAAACAACTACAAAAACAAAACACAGCAGTGAGTCTCAGAGCCTGGGTCTACAGACTCAGACTTGTACTACGGCATTAAAAATAGCCATGTGTACGTTCCCACTAGAGCTCAGGCTCTGAAACCCACTCCCTCCCTAGGGCTCAGACCCAAAATGGGAATATCTGCATGGCTATTTTTAGTGCCATAGGCCTGAAGACCCACTGCAGCAGGTGCTTTTTGCAGTGTAGACCAAACAAACCTCTGATGCTCTTCCTCAAGCATCTGGCTAACTCGGGGAGCAGGTAAAGAATCTCACTCAGTAGGACGTGCATCCCCCTTGACTTTACATTATTTTAAGAGTTTTAATGTAAAGTAATAATTTGTAACTTCACACTAAGAACAGAGAGTCCTGTTCCTTTAAGTCTAACAGATGTACTGGAGCATAAGCTTTCGTGGGTGAATGCCCACTTCGCTGGATGCTTATGCTCCAACACATCTGTTAGTCTTAAAGGTGCCACAGGACTCTCTGTTGCTTTTTACAGATCCAGACTAACATGGCTACCCTCTGATACTTGACACTAAGAACAGACTCCTATTGTGGTATACAAACACTGCGACCCAGAACTTAAGTGGAAAACAAGAGTGTAAAAATTCAAGGAATCAGCCTCACAGAACAAATGTATAATATGCAGCCACTGCAGTTATACAGATGTAAAGGCCGTGGGGGATATTTTAGAAGCCCATGTCAGCAACATGAGACCTCCACACAGCATTGCCTCTGGCACTGTCCCTTTGCTTCTTGGCTCGGGCTCTGTGATGACGATTAGCCAGTGCCCACAGAAGCCCACCTCCTGCCAAACAGGCACAAGTCGAGACTCGGTCCCTCCGGTACTCAGTGGTGGTGAACCTCGGTGCGGGGCAGCATCATGCGCCCAGCGCCGCGGGAGGACCGCCTGTCCTCGCCCCGGCCCGTGACACCTATGAGGGCCCCGGCCCACCCGCTTGGCAGCAGACTCAGGTCCGGACCCTGCAGCAGGAGCAGCCCAGGAGGGACAGCACCGTACAAATATCACCCCTCTCTCCCATGCCCTTCCCAACCCCTCCACTGTCCCTTCCCCCCACCTCATGCCCTGCTCCCCGCCCCGCCACTCACCGCTGTCCACCTTAAAGCGCTCGTGCCTGGCTCGGAGCCCGTCGATCTCGCTCTGCTGATCGGCCAGGAAGCGCTCCAGCTTCCCCTGCACCGGCTTGGGCAGCTTGGCCAGCTCGGCCCGCTCCAGGAGCTGCTGCAGCACCGCCGCCATCTTGGGAGGGAGCCTCTCCAACCGCTCTCTGCCGCCTTCCGGCCCCGCGGGGAAGGGAAACAGCGCGGCGACCTCACCTCCCAGCAAGCACAGAGCATGCGCATTAGCCGCCCTCCAGAGGGCGCCATGGGAAACGTAGTGTTCAACCTCCACCGGAAGCCGAACTCCTGTGCGAAAGCTTCCGGAGGTAGCGTTCTGTCCGCCATGTTGAGTGAGGCACTGCGTCCCAGCCTGTCTGATTAGACCGCGTGAACTCACAAAGAGGAGTCTTTGTTGGTTAGCAATGCAGCGTTCGTCTTCTCGCAGAGACTGGATCGGCAAGGAAGAGGTGCTGCTACGTCCGCCACACAGAACATGGCGGACCCTGAGGGGCAGTAACACCCGGCGCCCATCCTCCCGCCATTAGGTTTGTCTCCTGTTGGGCCCAGTGATTCGTCTACGTCATCAACCTACGCTTTGAGAGAGAGTTCACTCGTTGAGCCGGGAGGAGAGGCGCAGCCTGGTGATGTGGACATGTGGGACACATCTGTGCTGGGCGTGGAGGGAGCTGTGAGAGAAGCTGGTGCCACTGCCCAGTAAGCAGGTGAGGTTGCTGTGGCCGTGGGTAGAGGAGGAGGAGGAGGAGGAGGAGGCGGCTGTCCGGCCGGCCGGCCGGCCGGCCCCGCCGAGGGTGCCCGGCCCTTGGAGATAGGAATCTGACCTGGCTGGGGGAGAGGAAAATGTGTCTGAAGGGCGGGTGTCTGACCTAGCTGAGGGAGGCCGAATTGCGGGAGGGAATGGTGGGAAATGTCTCCCCTCTGTGGCACTAGCTGGCGGCTCTCGCTGTGGCTCAGTTAAGAGAGGTGGATCCCGTTGTAACCCCGTATCTGCTTGCACCTTGTACTCTTTGGGGGCTGGAACGTCGCCCCTCAGCTCTGTCGTGTAGATCTGAACTTTTTAGTTAGTGCCTTTGGAAGGAGCGAGTCAAATTGATTGAGGTACGTTAGCATGGCGGGAGGGGGAAGAGAGAGCGAGAGAATCGCCTGAGTTCTTCCCATATGTCCAGATCCTACATTTTGCGTTCAGGGATTTTTTTTTTTTAAATCTGCAAATGGAAAGTGTAAAACGGGCCTGTTTGACAGATTTCACAGTGACTTAAAAAACAAGTCATGTCTGAAGAAGGGAAATAAGAATGTTTGCAAAATACAAATATTGTAGAATGTAACTGAGCAGGACTGTTCTTTCATTTTTCTAGGCAGCAGGTGTTTGCTGCTATTTTGATTATAGGTTAGCGATAGTGGTCTGACTGTGTGAGAACTGTGAATGTGCGAGTGAACAAATGGAAGTGGACTACTCCTAAAACATTAAGAGTTCAAGGTTGTTTCATAGATCACTTGTAAATTATTTTTTCCTAGATTTTAATTTGATATTTGATTTGATATGTCAATTTCACATATGTTACCATATTTAAAATACCTCTTTTTCATACAAGTATGTTAAGAATAAAAGAATACACTTTCCTCTGCCATAGAGAGACTTTTAGAACTTCAGTGAAGCTATTACAGGTATAAAGCTCATTGTAACTTTGATAATGGTCACTGTCATACTAACACATTCAGGGTGTTTTTCTGACACTTTTTATTTCTGTACACTTACCATGCTATGCCTTATGTCCTCGGATTAAGTACCTGAAAAGGTAGAATAATATATTCTCTTTTTATAGATGGAAATTAGACTAAGCTCGCAGTAATGGGCAGAAGCTATTTTGTGGAAGAAGCTGTTGGACAGTATCTTTCAAACTTCAGCACCAAGCCAAAGGGTTGTGTCACTGGCCTGTTGATAGGGCAGGTAAGTGTTCAAATCTATATGAAAGTGAATAGGCTTCTGTGTTGTGGATGTGTAACTCAGATTAACATTATGTTCATATAGGGTTTATAATCTATATTCAAAGGTAACACTTCTTTATGTAGCTGCTAGGGTAAAGATCCTGTGTTAGTGACTTGAGCAACTTTGCATCCCACATCAATATCAAGCTACAGACTCGATCCTGCTCTCATTGACTTTAATGGTGTAGGATCAAACTCGTAACCGTAATGTTGAACTTGTATGAGACAGGAAGGGGATATTTTGACAAAGGACAAAACCATACTTTTATAAAAGCTGCCATGGTACCCGCTGAGCACTTAGATACTTGGTTTTTGAAATCTTGTCTGAAAGATACAGTAAATGGCATGGAACTACATTTATGCACCTCCAAAAAGATGCACCCCTCACACCAAATGGGAGGTGCCCAGGTAAGCGCTCCACACCCAAACCTCCTGCCCCAACTCTGAGCCCCCTCCTTCATTCTAGCTCCTGGCCAGACCCTACAGCCCAACCCCCAGCCCTGTGCTCAGTGCACTCTCACCCTCAGCTCAGTGCAGAGAGAGAGAGAGAAAGAGAATGGGCTAAAACCAGGGACAAGGTACCCACTCTATGTGGGCAGGGCCGGGACCCCAGACTGGCAGCGGGCTGAGTGGGGCCAGCAGCCAGGACCCTGGCTGGTAGGAGCCGGCAGACGGAACCCTCGAACGGCAGCGGGCTGAGCGGCAGCGGGCTGAGACGCTCAGCCCATTGCCGGTCTGGGGTCCCGGCCGCCGGTCCCGTTCAGCCTGCTGCCGGCCTAGGTGGATGGAACCACAGGCCGGCAGTGGGCTGAGCGGGCCGGCGGCGTAAGATCAGCATTTTAATTTAATTTTAAATGAAGCTTCTTAAACATTTTGAAAACCTTGTTTACTTTACATACAACAATAGTTTAGTTATATAATATATAGGCTTAGAGAGAGAGAGACCTTCTAAAAAACGTTAAAAGGTATTACTGGCACACGAATCCTTAAATTAAAGTGAATAAATGAAGACTCGGCACACCACTTCGGAAAGGTTGCCGACCCCTGGTCTAGCACAATGGGGCGTTTCTCTGACTGTATCCTCTAAGTCAGTGGTTTTCAAACGTTTTTTTTCTGGTGACCCAGTTGAAGAAAACTATTGATGCCCGTGACCCAACAGAACTGGGATGAGGGGTTTGGTCTGTGGGAGGGGCTCAGGACTGGGGCAGAGGGTGAGGGCTGCGGGGTAGGGCCGGGAATGAGGGATTCAGGGTGTAGAAGGCTTGTGCAGAGGGTTGGGGCACTGGAGGGAGTCAGGGCTCTGGGCTGGGGGGGGGTTGGTGTAGGAGGGGGCTTCAGGTTTGGGGGGGTTCAGGGCTGGGGCAGAGGGTTGGGGTGCAGGCAGAGGTCAGATCTCTGGGCTGGGGCCAGGGATGAGGGATTTGGGGTGCAGGAAGGAGCTCTGGGTTTGGGGGGGGCTCAGGGCTGGGGCAGGGAATTGGGGCATGGGCTTACCTCGGGCGGCTCCTCGTCAGCGGTGCAGCGGGGGTGCTAAGGCAGGCTTCCTTCCTGTCCTGGCACTGCAGACTGCATTGCACCCAGAAGCGGCCAACAGCAGGTCTTGCTCCTAGGCGGAGGCGCTGTGCTCAGGACGGGGACAGCGCACAGAGCCCCGTGGCCTCCCCGCCTAGGAGCCGGACCTGCTACTGGCTGCTTCCGAGGCGCAGCGCGGTGTCAGAACAGGTAGGGACTAGCTTGCCTTATCCAGGCAGCACCGCCAATGGGACCTTTAATGGCCAGGTCAGAGGTGCTGAGCGGAGCCACAGCGACCTAGTGCCTTACATTCCGCAACCCAGTACTGTGTCACGACCCGTAGGTTGAAAACCACTGCTCTAGCTGCCATTTCAATCCAATTATTAGCTGCTGCTATTTGAGTTATATGCTGTAGATTATTTCTTCTTTCTGGCTCTCGGGTCAGTGGTGGTGGTCATTGTCTTCATGGAACAAATCAGAATCATCTTGGAAAAAAATTGCAGCCCTCAAAGTTGTGTTGTTTGCTAGCTTCTGGTTGTTCTGATGTCCTAATGCTTTACAGTCTTTACACTAGTGCTTTTAAGGACCCCGCATGTCTGCTCACCTTTAGGAAAAGTGTTCCAATCTGTATCCATTTCTGTCCCACTTGAAGTTCATATACTGCAGAGGATTCAGCAATAAAGCTGATAACTATTGAGGATATTATATATAAATCTTCATTACAGACTTATGTGAAGGATAGACTGCATCAAATTTGCAGGTCATTGTGTGTATTATGCTGGGAGAGGCAGCAACTGCCATTGTTAAATTTGAATAATCAGGTATAATCTGAGGGTATGTCTACACGGCGAAATTAGGTCGGTTTTTATAGAAGTCGATCTTTAGAAAGCGATTTTATACAGTCGATCGTGTATGTCCCCACTAAGTGCAGTAGGTTGGCGGAGTGCATTCTCAATACCGTTTTAGCATCGATTCACGGAGTGGTGCACTGTGAGTAGCTATCCCATAATCACTGCTGCCCATTGGCATTCTTGGTTAAACTCCCAGTGCCTGATGGGGCAAAAACATTGTCGCGGGTGGTTTTGGGTACATAGATTCATAGATTCTAGGACTGGCAGGGACCTCCAGAGGTCATCGAGTCCAGTCCCCTGCCTGCATGGCAGGACCAAATACTGTCTAGACCATCCCTGATAGACATTTATCTAACCTACTCTTAAATATCTCCAGAGATGGAGATTCCACAACCTCCCTAGGCAATTTATTCCAGTGTTTAACCACCCTGACAGTTAGGAACTTTTTCCTAATGTCCAACCT